CAAAATTTCTGACTGTTAAAATTTCTGACTATTCTTTATTATTTTAAAATATTATGGTGAGTACAAAATTCCTGTAATACTTTGATTCCTTTGCTGTAATTTAAAGAGGGATATAACTTTTAATTTAAAAATTTGAAATTTGTTGGGTTTGGTGGCTCAGCCTGTAATCCCAGCACTTTGGGAGGCTGAGGCAAGTGGATTGCCTGAGCCCTCAAGTTCGAGACCAACACGGGCAACTTCGTGAGACCTCGTCTCTACAGTAACTAGAAAATTAGCCAGGAGTAGTAGCACACACCTATAATTCCAGCTATTTGGAAGGCTGAGGTGGAAGAATCACTGGAGCCCAGTGTGTTGATGCTGGGTTGGCCATGAGTGTACCACTGCACACCAGCTTGGGTGATAGAGTAAGACTCCAACTCAAAAAAAATTTTTTTTAAAAAACTTATACTAGCCGGGCTCGGTGGCTCAGCCTGTAATCCTGTGCCTTTGGGAGGCTGAGGTGAGTGGATTGCCTGAGTCCACGAGTTCAAGACCTGCCTGGGCAACTTGGCGAGACCTCATCTCTACAATAAATCAAAAATTAGCCGGGCATGGTAGTGCGTGTCTGTAGTTCCAGCTACTCGGAAGGTTGAGGTGGAAGGATCGCTGGAGCCCAGCAGGTCGAGACTGCGGTGGCCAGGAGCAGCCACTGCACTCCAGTCTGGGCGACAGAGTGAGGCTCCAACTCAAAAAACAAAACAAAACAAAACAAAACAAAAAACTTATATTATGCTGGAAATTATATCCTTTGCAACTACTTAAGCATAGAATAAAACATTTAGTTGCCAATTTAAACATGAAAGGATATATAACTTTCCAAAGTTTTTCAGAAGTGCTTGAGTGACAAAGGTTGAAATTTACTGCTCAAGTTATGGAAGACATTCACTTGACACTCAATAGATAATCCTTGCTCCCAAGACCAGGGCAATGAAGAGTGAGTTGGTGGGAGGGGATGGAGTACATACAGGGATTTGTGGGTTCTGAGTTTCTACTTAACCTCTAGGTTTGTATTCTGGGAAGGCACAAAATTCTGAAAAGGCAAAGAACACACATACATGCTAGTGGTTTTAGGTTGAGAGGCTCTCCAACTGTCTGCCAGAATGATGCAGAAATGGCAGAAAAATTCCTATTCCCCTAAAATGTGTTTGAATGTGGTAGAAAGCTTGCCTTCCCTGAACAGACTTGCAAGGGGAATAAGAGACAACTCAGAAGACACTTGTGAACTGATGACAAAGTTAAACATAAAAATAATATCATCATAGATACCAATATAAATAAAAGACATCAAATATCAACCAACAAATTCATATGTAATCTGAAGTAAGAGAGACACATTCAACTGAAAGAAATGGTTTTGCTCTCCTGATTGTAAAATAATAGCACACACTGTAATAACTTCACATTATTAGTTTACTCTTCAAAGACAATCACTTCAAGGGATAGAAATTTTATCATTCCAATTTTAAAGCAACAATTAATCAAGATGGACTAAATAACTTTCCAGGTTATATCATTTATACGTGGAGAAGCTGCAATGGGAACTTGATGCAGAAACTAGGATTCCTTTTGGAATAATAAATACACTGAACATAGCAGGTTTGAGGATTTGTGAGTGCATAATCTACAGAGACACACATACCTAGGTAGACACTAAAACATTGCCCAGACTCCAATAATATGTCAAGCTGGTGTGGTTTCGGTGACATTGCCTTTATTTTTTTGTGTCCTGTCACCTGTTTTTCCTATTCGTGAGACAAGCTGACCATCAACATCTAACTCAGCTTACAACTGCCAGTTCATATCAACTGAAAAGCGCTTTAAAGTTCTAGTTTCTGTTTGACTATCCATGATGGAGAAGAAGTGAAGATGATTATAATTTATCCCAAAAACAGTACAAAGAAAAATATTAAAACATATAACTTCTTTTTCCTATTTAGAATTGTAAGAATAACATTACAAAAAACTAGAAAGCTGGAAAATTACTTTATCTCATATGCCAAGAATCATTTGTATATTGAAAAATATCCAGAGAAACAATAGGAATAGTCTTTTTTCATAATTCCATTATATATCCAGTTTGCCTTGCAGAAATAATTACTTTTTTGATCTCATAAAATCTTTGAGTCATTTTTTTGTACAAATAATTCAGAGAGAAAAAACCACTTAAGGAATAGAAATGTGTCCTGTTTTTGTACTTGGGGATTGAGAGGTAACCTTACATAGAATAAACAGTTGTAATGTGTTTGTTATAATGTCATTCTTTAATAGCACATTATGTAAGTAACACTCAAGCATGGCAACATAATAGCCCTGAGAAATACACAATTTAAACTATGTAGAAAGTAGTATTTTATGAGGTGAATAGACAAATACATTAGAGTCACTTGAATGAAGATGGCATTTTTAAAAAAATCTTGGAGCTAGTTCTTCCAACTCTCAATACCTATATATTATGAGGGTAATATTGTTATGAAGCCATAAGTTTGAAATGTATACCAGAGATCTCTTAAGAAAAAATGAAGTTCAGCAATTGGCATGTAAATTCAATTTGTTTTTAATTTTGCAGAGGGGCTTGTATTATTGTGCAAATGGTGGTTTGTTAAAAGGATGGTATGATAAACTTTTAAGAAACATTTATTTCCATAATAATCTTCTATGATTTTGTAATCATGCATGGAATTTAATAAAATTCTCAGTGTCTCTGGTTAAATAAACATTTCTTCATACTTAGTCTGCTTATTTTTTTTGTCCAGACTTAAGCTTTTTAACAGACTGCAAAACAAAACAATGTCTCTTTTAACTTTAGTTAACAAAGTCAATGTGAGAGACAGTTATCTTTAAAAAAATCATTTACTTAAAAAGACAAAGTAACAGCAATACATTAAAATTATAAGACATACATTAGTATTTTAAAACTAATGTTAAGTTGAATAGAAGCAAATGAGATACTGAGAAATAGTCAAGCATTTAGGGAGCAATGTAGAATCATTCAGTCAGAAGCTCTGTTGAGACGACTTGTTTCTTTTTTCTCCACTCACATTATTATACATTGAGAGCCCAGAGGCAGACAGAAGAAAGTCATAATAGTTCTGTCATTCAAGTGTGTTGACAGAATTATGACAACCTGTGGTAGCTTTACCCTCATTTTTATAAAGGCTCATTTTACCAGGTAAGGTGTTACATGATCTAATGACTGCAGGTTCTCCATCTAGATCACTGTCCTTTAACTTAACCTAGAACACAGCTGAAAGATTCTTTTCTGTTCTAGGAAGATGACGCCTTCTGAATAAGGAAATGTTAAAACATGTATTGAATACTTACTATATGAAATGTTCTGTCCTAATGCTTTACTGGTATAAAATTGTATATAAAACTAAGGCAGAAAGAAACTGAAAAAAAACCTTCTGAAAATAAGACAGTGACCTTGGATTCAGATCCAGGTAGCCTGTATTCAAAGCCCATGCACTCATATATAAAGTATTCTTTTTTCTCAATAACTCTATTGATGTGAATTAATGTACAATGTTAAACAGAAAACAAATATGTACTTTTTGCATATGTATACAATATTTTGCTATATATACCAAAAACTTATAATATTGGATGTCTCTTGGGTTGGGACTTGGATAAATGAGGGCTAGAGGAACTAGGAGAGCTTTGCTTATGCATCTTTCTGGAAGTTTAACATTTTGAAATATGCAGATGCATTACTTTCATGAAGATGGATAAATCAATCTTTAAAAATTTAGGAATTCAGTAGATTCTATCATGTTGGCAAGTAATTTAACCCTACATCAAAAATAAAAGCTATGAACATCCTTGAGGAATTCAACATATTTTATTTAGCTAGGTCAATGATTTCTTCAATATCCGGTTAAATTTTGGTGTGACAACTACATTCAGTTTGTTTTCTTATACAGAGTGAACATTCACTGTAACGACAGTTTCATCGTGCTAAAACCTATTCACAAATCTACACTTGAAAAAAAGTGCATTTCTAGGAAATTTTATATACAATACAAATGGAAAATGTATGAAGTCATTGAATTGTCAAAGTACACAAAATCCATCAACCACCAATATCCAATATACATTAATAAGATTTTTGAGAAAGAAAATTTCTTTACATTCTGTAGGGTTATGTTGAAGAAGAATTTCTATAGTTTTAAAAGAAAAGTAATAAAAATATACACAATTTCCATAATGTTCAAAATAGAAAGTATTAAATAGCACAAATAATATTATAAAACTGAACATCCTTATTGTCTATCAGTTAGGCTTACATGAAGCATGGGGAACTGTGACTCTAAAACAATTTTATGTTTAACTCTGTACCTAGAATAGATTGACCAGAAACACAGAAGATGCTTTTGGCTCCACAGTGACACATGTCTCAGTTTGTGAGCATAGAGAAGAAAAGAGTTTAACTGCACCTTTTAAGCAGGCAAACCATTTGTATAATAAACTGCTTGAAAAAATACTTTAAAATTATACATATTTGGCAACCCCTTTGGGTCCTCTCCCACTATGGGAGCTTGTCTGACCTCTCAATAAATTCTGCTTTCAAGAAAAAAAATTATACATATTTGGAACAGTAGATTTTGCCATCATTTTTGTTGTATATTTTAACTGCTCTTTTTGCCACTTGAGGTCTGCCCTGACATGATCATAATTTACCACTACTTAAATAATAAATCATATTCTTAGATTCTGATTAATGATCACATAATTTTGACAATGATTTTAGTTCTTGAGGTTTTATATTGCGATGCTTGTAAAGGCAATACATCTAACGTGATCACCTTCTTCACGATTAACTACTAATTAAATATTTGTATAGATGTGATTAGGTCTATGGTGCAATTTCTGTTTTCATCTGAAAACATGAAAATATCTTAAAAGTAAATAAAATGAAAAAGCAAAAGACGTGTTTTTAAAATATACATGAGAACATGAAAAAATTTTTCATATTTTTTTGGCTAATTTTTATTGGAGCAACTACATTTTAGTATTAAAATATTCTAATCAAAATATCCAAACATACAATTAGAAGATAATTGTTGTATTCCTCACAAAACTTCCACATTTACATTTATAGACCAGTGAACAATGTACCATTATTCTCCTAAAAGATAGAATGTTTAATTGTATTCATATTACTATTTTCCTTTCTAGACATAATGAGCACCTCATCATCACAATCAAAAGATCATAAAATATGAAATATTGACTTAAAAATCAGTATGATATCTGAGCTTGGTTTTAATAAATGTAAGAGATAATCATTGCGCTTGAGTACTGAGGTGAAAAACTAGCCACATTTGCTATAAGCTCCTCTTAATAAAGTTTCATTTTCTACTCTGATTTTTCTTTTTTTTTTTCGTTTTTGATGGCTTCACCCCTTATAAGTTTAATAATTCAAAAATGTTTTCTTCTTATATTGTTTAATTTGTCACACAGACTAGGAAATTAGAATAAAAATAGTAATCATTAAACATTGCAAGATTATATTATTTGAGTCTAAAATAACTTAAATCACTTCCAACAAAAGAAAGTGCATTTGTTTGGAAGGTGATAACATAACAACATAAACCTAACTGCTTCACTGATATAACTTGTATCAAAGATTTTCATGGTATAGGTTACTGATTTTGTCTTTCTGAAACAAGGAAATAAAGGTCAATGACAGATATCTGCCACAGATAATTTTTATAGTTTTCACAAAACAAACAACATAATATATTTCACTGGAAGCATATAAACTCATCATGTCTCTTCATGAATGAGTCATATTTTTAGACAAATTTTAGATGCCCTCTTCTTTATCTTTTATCTATTTTACATATATTTTCATAGCCACTCTGTGACATGTATTTATGTGACTTTTACTATGTGAATTTGGAACTTGTTTTCAGATATAAAATCACTGACAATTAGAAATCTAAAGCTCGACAGCAGGGAGAGAACATACAGGGTTTGGCCCTCGTTCGATTGAAGGATGTAACAATTCTCATTTTGTAGCTGTCATATTGATTTTGAAGAAAAGGTGAATAAAGACATAAATAAAATCTGGGTTAAGTTAAATATTTATATGCACCATGAGGACCATGACATGTCTAGTGCTAGTCAATATCATACAAGAAAATGCATGCTCATTTCAGTTCATGAAAAACTCACTTTAGGAGTGAGTGATCACCTTTTTCAGGAATTTCCCATGGGTAAAACACAAAATTCTTTGCTCAAAATTTGATCATTGAAGGTAGAGCATTTGTTACTGGAAGCAAAAGCCCCATGTACAAAAATATTATGACTCTGGCAACTGATTCCTCCTGTTTCTACTTTTCCGGCTATTGATGAGAGCCTTTAATTTGCCATAGTCCCCTCTCATTTTTTGTGGTTCTTCTCCCTGTGGATGTTGCTGCCGAGTGTCTTTACAGTATTGATTAATCATCTGCATTTCGGAGTGGCTAAATGCTCCCATGATGTCCTTCGGGTGGAAGGGTAAAGCCCTCACAGAGCTGGCCCAGGTCCATGGAGACCATTTGTCTGTCACAACAGCTACCATTTCTGAATCTAAAACTTTGAAGTTGATCTTGGCTATGGTCTGCTTGAAACTGTTTTCTGTTGCAATGCAGTGATACAGTCCTTGGTCAGAATCTTGAACAGAGCGGATCAGGAGTCCTTGCGAAGTGGCTATGATTCGTTCATTCAGCTTGACCTAAAAGAGACACATTAACATTTCTAAAATGAAACACTGTATTTCCTAAATGATTATGACCAACATATATAGAATATTGTTGACTCACAGATTTGGAAAAACTATTGAGTACTACTTAGCTTCCTTCTCAGTGGATATGGAGTTTTGTTAGTTCTATTTGCCTTTTGTTTGTTTTTAACTTGGGAGATCTGAATCTAGTAAAAAAGAGGGTGAAGATATTATTCATATTGGCAAAAACAGCTTACAGTGCTTTCCCTGGATAGAAGTAGTTTCTTCACATATAAGCACAGAATTTTAATTGCTTTTGAAATTGGAATCATAGTCAAAATATATTAATAAAATTCAGATAATTTAAAATATCTATTTCACTCTAGAATTCTAGTCTGTTATATTTACAAAAATGATCACTTACTAGAACATAAAGCTACAATTAAAAGGTGAATTTTATCTTTTTTCAATGAGTGAATATTCTTCGATTAAAAAATACATAAGCAGAGGCAGAGTTTTGAACATTATCAAGGGCATTTCCAATTATTCCACAATAAAGAATGCCTAAAAATGAGATAGAATGTCATTGTCTTGTAAGTCTTTTTTTTTTTTTTTTTTTTTTTTGAGTTGGAGTCTCACTCTGTTGCCCAGACTGGAGTGCAGTGGCCGCTCCCTGCCACTGCAGCCTCCACCTGCTGGGCTCCGGCGATCCTTCCGCCTCAGCCTTCCAAGTAGCCGGAATTACAGGCGCGTCCTACCACGCCCGGCTAATTTTTAAAAATTTATTGTAGAGATGAGGTCTCGCCTGCCCAGGCGGGTCTCGAACCTGAGGGCTCAGGCAATCCATTCACCTCAGCCTCCCAAAGGCGCGGGATTACAGGCTGAGTCACCGAGCCCGGCTTATTTTGTAAGTCTTTTAAGTGGTTTTGGTTTCCAAGAAAAGCTGGGGATTAATATTTAATAACTTTATAGGCTTATACTGGAAAATGATCATCTGCTGAATATCAGCTACATGCTTAAAATTCATCTTCCTTATAGTTTCAGCTATAGTATTGCCAATAAATAGATAAAAATCTAAGTGGTAAGAAGTTCCTTGACATGCATATACTCTTGAGTACTCTTTCACTGAAGAAAAAATGAATTTGACCAAAATCAAAAGAAAGTAATGTATGGGAAATCTTTTTCTAAATGATAAAATTACGTGCAAATAGATAAGTTATTATTAATGAAATCCAAATCAAAGGTCAATTGTTTTTGATAAAAAGTAACACACAAAGTACAAAAAAGCAAGTATAATATTAAAAGTCAGACACTAGAATAGAAGTAGAAAAGAGAGAGTCATTAGGGGAAAGTAAGAAAATAAAGCTTTGACAATGATTAAATTTATTACATTTAAAAGTGCCTTAAAATAAATTTAAACAATATAGAAGTGCATTCACAAAGTAAAAAAAAAGAAAGTTTTCCTGTTTGTACAAAATTTGGAACATTTCAAGTCTAATTTGATAATATCCACAAAACATGAAATTTATCTTGACGATATACTCTCACAAGTAGCAGATATTTGCTTACATGATGCACTTGAAAATTAAAACAACAAATAACCTAACAAGTATATGGCTTAAACAAAACAAAACAGAAGTTAAGTCATCATCATATAATGGAATACTATGCATCCTGGAAAAAATAAGGTAGCTACACATGTACTGATATTGGGGAAAGGGAGAAAAATTATCAAGCATATTTGGAGGAATATATAACTATTGGTAACAATACTTCTAGAAGTGGGAATAAGTATTGAAGTGGTGGAGGGCTTTTTCACTTTATGCTATTCAATATGAACTATTTCCATTTGCTCCATGAGTCTTTATTATTTGTCTTAACTTTTATTAAAAAAAGAAGTTTAATGTTTACAAATTAGCAACATGAGAAATAAGTATGTGTTTGCCTGAAATAGTAAGGAAGAATCAGGATAAATTTCATAAAATATTAACAGTTTATTTATTAGGTAAAGAGTAAGTGGAATTGTGTACTGCTGAAATTTTGAACAAAAGAGATTATCATAATTTTTAGAATTAAATTTGTTGTGATCTTAAATTATTACATTCTTATGCTTTTGAGATTGGAAGACAAATCAAAATAGCAATATTTGAGTCACCACATTCTTGAGTGTTCTGAAATAGAATATTAGAAACATCACAAGAGAATAAGTTGATCACACATTCCATTTCAGATTTTACTATTAAATTTTGTGGCATGTATTTATACCTATACATTTACTTTTAATTCATAAAAATTACTTTCACTTATATATTATTCTATTCAACTTCCTACTGAATAAAACAAAATTATCTTATCCTTATTAATTAATCCCTATTTGAATATTGCTTACTCAATTCACAGACATATATGTAGACATTTTCTGGAAGGATTATTCATGTACATGTTTACAAGCTTTAGTCTATGTACTTACTTTTGCATGACAATCAAAATCACATATTATTACTTCTTCCTCAGGTTACTTTGCAAGGCAATTATTATTATAATCCATATCCATTCAAAATAATTGAAAATTAAGTATATTGTAAAAATTTCAAGACTGTTTTGATGAAAGATTTTACAGCAAAGAAAGTAGATCTCAAATAAATAATAATTTTTACTAATAAAAATTTTAAAAATGTTTTTAGTATTATAGAATTCTGGAGCAAAATGGGATTCTGAAGTCCATTAACCACATCTTTACTCCAGTTACTTAAATTTCCTCTTATGCAAGTGGCCATTCTGCCTAAGGTTTAATATTCCAGTAACAGGGGACACAATTTCCTAAACAACTGATAACCTCTTCGGATAGGCAAGATTGAGAGTTGCAAAGTATTTTCTCACATAGAGTCAAGGTTTATTTTGAAAAATTCAATGCAGTATCTGTGTTCAACAGCTTGAGATGCTATGCTCTCTATACAGTCTTAATTAACTTGATTCATAGTAACAAAATTGCCCACAACAGCAGAATACAAACAGATGCAGAAGGCTCTATTTTCCCTTTGGCTCCATCAGACTTTACGATGCACTAATAGTAGTACATCGCAGACTTCCCTAAGAATTCATAGATACATATGTATTTTTATCTTCTCATTTGTCAGGACATGACATCAATATTGTGGAATTCACTATTTAAAACATACCACACTATGCCATTTTACAATGTCTCCCTTATAAAACACATCTTTTCAATCAGTGAAAGATTACAGTAAGTGTCCTTTTACTTGAAGATGTACGGCTTTTTCCATATCATGAAATAAAGGCGGTGGTCCCATAAACAATGATTCTATATATTACCTAACCAAAGTATGAGATTTATGAATAATAAAGCAATGGAAACAGATTACCACACAGCAGAAAAATGCTCTTTGCCATGAAAGTTATAGTTCTTGAGGAAAACCACCTTTTTTTAAAAAAAAAAGTCCCCTTTTATCTTGTGAATCACACAAAGGTGCTGTTGTATAAAAACTTGGCTTCTGGATTTGCACACATCTTGTTTCTTTTACAAATGCTTCCTCACATCAATACCACTGCCTTCGTGCCCAAGTTCTTATTTCAATCACCATGTTAGATATGTGAGCAGGCAGGGAGAATTTCTAATTAATCTATCAACTTTTAGGACAAAGGATTTAAAGAAAATGGCACTTGTCATCCCAAAGACATAAAAGGATGTTCGTATGCCTTTCCTTTTTCATGTGATGTGACCTCACTGGGGCATGGTGATTTAACGCTCTTTCCTAAGCCCTGATGGATCCTTGCTGTGCTGCGTCACTCACCTCTTTCCTCCTGTCTTTGTCCTTCTGTAATAGCCACTTGATAGATGCCTGTGGAGACTTGGGGGCACACTCAAGAAAAGTGGTGTTATTTTTTACTCCATACTGAACAATTTCAGCTGCATTTCTATATGCTGAAATACAAACATAAAAGGAGAGAGAGAGAACAAAATGGAATTTAGAGTATGTTCTCCTATGTAAATGTTTATTTCTCTATAATTTGTGAACTATGGCAGCCAACTAAAAAAGTGATAATTATTAAATAAGAAAATTATTACACATTGTTTACTGACTTTGTTTAATGTAAAGGGAAAGAAAGACTATTGGTTAATTATAGTTACGTTGATAAGGGAATCAACATTTATTCAAGAATTACTCAACACAAAGGAATGCACTTAATATCACTTTGGATCTTAATCATTATAATATGCTTATATTATTTTTTCAGGTTTTCACAGCTGAGTAAACTGAGGCTGTGAATTATGAAGAAATGCAGTGAAAGTTAGTGATAGGTGTTAGTGAAGCCAGGTTTATCTCACCCCATACTCAATATGTTATTGAGAAATTCAGAAGTACTGGGAAAGGACAGAAAGCAAGGTGTGGCTCAGTGAAATGCAGTTGAAAACACCATATTTGGAATCAGAGGAACCTGGAGTAAAAACCTTTTGATTCACCACTGCTGGCTGTGCCTCAAACTTACTCATCTCTAAAACATGAACTACAACATTTTTAGCTAGTAGGAAAAGTATAATAAGATGGTACCTCCATGTCAGGATTACTTGGAAGGAAGGGATTACTTTAATTGCAGGACACAAGGCAGGATTGTCAACAGTACCAAGAAACTGTAGCACGCCTATATTCATAGCAGGATTATTCACTATCGTCAAAAGGTGGAAGCAATCCGAGTGTACAACAATGAGAATGTACTTAATGCCCCAGAACTGTAAACTTTAAAATGGTTACAATGTAAATTTTGTTATTTATATTCACTGCAACAAAAAGTGCTCTTCTATGTGTCCTTCAATAGTACATTTTAAAAAGTAAAAAACTTTTTGTCAGAAAGAAAGTAGTCGCTTAGGAAATCTGTCATTGCAATCTATGTGAAAGATCTGCCAATTAATGTACCCAACACATATTTTTCACAATTCTCAGTATACATACAAACACATTTAGCCTTTAATTACCTCATATAAATATCACAAATTTTCTTAGTGAGTATTTCTTGAAGATGAAAGGCTTGAATCTATTATAATGTTTCCCTTACTGAAGTGTGAGAGGGAGTATTGCTACTGTTTGCCAAAACTGATCATTGTTCACTTGTAATACCTTTTAGGTTAAATCCTCTGCATTGTGTCAGTGGATTTCCATGTCTCACATCTTGTCTTCGGCTCCTCCTATAAGGAGGAGAAGAGTTATGGAGAATTAACACTGCCAATTACACCACATCTAAAACATAACATTTTAAACTTTTCATCTTTTTGATTGCCAAAGCTTTCATTAAAAAAATTAAAAAGAGTTCTGATTGTCTGATGTAGCTATCTCACATTTCTCACTGAGTTCATCAATAATAGAGTGGGCATTTATGCTCACTTTTAGATCTGAATAAGTTCAGTCTCTTCCCATCTACCACTTACGATGGAACAGCTAGGGATCTCCTATCATAAGCATATCCTGTGAAAATGCTAGATTCTATAATTAATAATGCAAACTTTTGTTTAGAGACATTCGTAAAAATTTTTCTAATATAATAATCTCAAAAAGAATAAACTCACTAGTTTTCCTTCTTATAATTGTTTGTCTTAATTTTTTTTATTTTTTACAATGACAACACTTTCTAACGCTTCCAGCTATATTAAAACTTTTCTGAAACTAGTGATAGAAATCATGAATATTTAATAAAAAGTTAAGTAACACTAATTATTTACTAGAATAATCATTGCCCCCAGACTCTTTATTTTGAAGAACTTCAAGTCTACAGGAAACTATATATATGAGTACAAAGGATACTGGCATACTTAGATTCACAAATTGTATTTTGTCACATTTATTTTTTTCTCTGACATATGCAAATATATATAATGTTCATAGTGTGGACACACTTCTCTGAAAACCTTTAGAAAATCAGTTACAGACATGATAATACTTCACCCTTAGATATTTTAGCATGTATTTCTCAACAATAAGTAATTTCTCAATATAATAATAATATTATTATATGGAAGATACTAATACTTACCTAAAATATTGTCTAATGCACACTCTATATTAAAATTTCCCTTGTTGACCCCAAAATATTCCTTATAAACTTTTAAAAGTTTACCCAGATCCAATGAAGTTTTATTCTTTGCATTTAGTTGTTATGTACTACTAGCTAAAGCATTTAAAAAGAGTTATGTATTTTTAAGTTGATCATTATTTATGTAAAAGTTTCAAGTTATTTTTATTCTAATTATTGAATTTCTGAAACTTAGATTCACTAAGTCTCTTACTTTTAATTGTACTATATAGTGTACTAAATCAAAATAGAACAACTGACATCCTCTGAACAAGCCCTCATGGACACAAACAGTGTCCTAAGTGAGAAGGAAGGCGATTCTCTTTAAGTATTGGGAGCACTAAGCTAAATGGACTGTTTCTAGCAATGCTGAAAAGTATATATGAGTGAGCATAATACTTAACTGGGCCAAATGTTAAGTCTTCTTAATATTTTTACCCTTAAAGATAATAAAACATTTAGCAAGAGAAGAAATATTAAAATCACAGAGTAGTTTTAAACTTACAAAGCAAAATAAATCTCAAAGTTATTAATAATGAAAAAAGCTCATTTTAGAGCTATAGATAATAGTTAATACCTTTGGTACATAATGAATGGTATCCAATTTTGTATCACTTGAGTATTTTTCCCCTAAAAGTCACATGATTCTTATTAAATTATATGTGTCTATACACCACATACAAAAAATATGGAAATGTTAGTCACTCAGAAAATTTGATTAAAACTTACTATACAAAAGGGATTCAGTAGTCAGAAACTGCCCAGGAGGTCACATAACATTAAGAAGGCTACCCAATCTCAAACCAGGTAAAGAGGGGACCAAAGGTAGGCCCAAACTTTACCTGTACGAAGACTACTTGTATGCCTAATCCTGAATTGTACCCCACATCTTTAAAATAAAATAATTTTTTAAAAATCTTAATGAGGCCCCAAAGAGGTAACTATATTTCTATATTTAAGCAGATGACTTACTAATAACATTTTGGGGTGATATGTGGCTAGATACCACTTAAATAGATATGTTGAAGCAGTGAAAGATGGGGTTGATGTTATATTTAAAAATATATTTCAATTAGTCAAAAAGTTTTCTATCTTGAGGAATAAGAATATCTTATTCCTCAAGATAGAAGAATCATGTGATCTACTCACAGTTTTTATATTGTGATGGAGTAGGATAAAGTGACAAATAGTATTCCTTGTTATATCTAATAAGAGAGGACACAAATTGAATACTAATGTGATTTAAGAGGATACTATGAATGGAAAGAATATTTACACTCACATACACTGTATGAATAAACAATCAAAAGGCAATAATAAATTATTACTTTAATACTAACTTTAGAAAGGGCTTTAAGGCATTACATTATATATACGTAAAACTGTCTACAGGAAAATGAAATGGTGGAAGAATTGAACCAGCACTTTAACAATATCTCTTAAAATGTTAGGCAGACCCTAGCTTCAAGAATTATACCCCTTCTTGGAGGTAGATGTATCCAAAGTGAACCACTGCTGAAAACCAGACCAATGACTTAACTCGTGATGTAATTCTGTGTTAATTGCATTAAGCAGGAAGCAACATCTCTAAGTTTTACTTGTAAATAAAAGGAAAACAATAACACTATATGAAGCCATAATAGAGTTTTAACTAGAAAAAAAAAATAGCAAGTGCTGCCTTCCATCAGAGAGGAACAAAGCAGGTAGAAAAGGAGATGCAGTTGAGGTAACCTTAATAATATAATTGCATAATTAAATATAGAGTATATGTAGCAGATTGTATTGTTTAAAAGATTTGTTGCCCCCTCCTGTTGGGAGCCGACCACGGAGGCCCACTGAACGTTAGGGATCAGGAAGGGCCATTGACCCCGAGACCACTAGGATGTGTTTGGGAGCTATTGACCCCATTTCCTCCCCCTTTCTACTCAGCACTAACCAGATTAAGCTCCTGTGAGCTCAAAACATAAAAACTCTGAGACCAGAATGAACACAAGCTAACTTTAGAACCTCATTACTACCATTCTTCCACAAACTGCAGTTTTGGCTTTCACACAACTTATAATTCAAACTCGTGTCACATCTAAGAGCCTGAGTATTGGTCACAGGCTTCTGGGTCATGATCTTAGAATTTATTGAAGGTGTAAATTGTAGAATATAGAAGACAGCCATTTTGTTGAAAGAATGCGGCTGGGTTACTTGCAGGTAGCCCACTGTGAAATTTGGACTGGGCCACATTCCAAACATTCTGGTATGGGCCACTTTCGTTTGTAAAGTAAATACTTAAGCTTCTATAGAATTGTTTAACTTGGTATAAATCAATCAGTTTAGGATGAAAAAGGTTTATAGAATATATCAGTCACGGATCAGGTTATCCTTTGTTATGGGATTTTAAGATTATCATACGAAAAGGGTTTAAAGGCAATCATGGATTAAGTTTTCATGGATTAAGGTTTCTGGTGGGTAGGGGATGCCCCTCCTACATCTGACTTTGTGTATAAAAGACCCGTTGTAATTCCCAATAACACACATTGCTTCTGTACTAGACCGGAGTCCAGTCTCTTTCTTTCTCTCTCTCTCTCTCTCTCTCTCTCTCTCTCCTTCCCCCCAGTCGCCGGTGCCATCTCCACCTTTGGGGTACCCTGAACCCGGCTGGAGCTGGTCTCCGGCACCATCCCTATTGTTGGATTCTATATCTCTGATTCACTGCTATCAAGCATAATCATGTGATTTGCTTTGGCAATAAACGTGAACAAACATGTGAAAACAAAAGAAAATATGATTAATACTGTACTATACTCTAGATTATCTCCCATATTCGGTTTTTAATTGCATTGCTATATTTTAAAATCCAGCATTATTTACCTCCAGCCAACTTGAGAGCAAATATTATCTGAGCATCACGTGAGAGTTCTCATGACTGACTTGGTCACTTTCAGTCATATAGATAAGCAATATCATTCACAATAGTTAAATTTATTGTCTTGTAAGCCACACTATGGTTTATTCATATATACAAACTCTCAAACTGGGCATTTTGAATTCACAGTATCATGTAGCTTCCAAGACATTTGAATCCAGAAAATTACTGTTATGTCTAGGCTTAAATCATGGGATCAGCAAGGCAGCCATTTGAACCTCTTGTATATGTAGAGTCCCTCTAAGGCATTTATAATCCATCACAAAAACATGCTGGTAGGCAGAGTAATACTATATTGCACATAGAATTGGGAATTTGGCTCCAATTGTCAGTGTTTTTTCTATAACAGTCAATTCCTTTGGATAAACAATGAAATCACTTTCTTCTTGTATAGAAAAGATATTTACTTGTAGATTGAACAGATGATCTTGTCTTAAAATAAAGTTTCTGACTACATGTTTAAATCCAGAATAAATAACATTAGAGACTAAATTGTAATACTTGATACAAATGTACAAATACATAAGATATTTAAGAGTATAAAGGAAAGACATTATAATGCTTACTGTAAACCAAGTTCTTTTAAGACAGAGAGTCAATGATATTTAACTACTTTATTATGTCAAAGTATTGTTTCCATTGACTTCCAAGAATAGTCATACTTCTCTGTTTCCATACAAATGACGTGTTTTTGCTCTTTATTCCTATAAATGTCTGAGTGAACTATGTGTTTTAGTTAAATAGTGTAATCAGAATAAGATCAGGGAAGTTAACACTATTAAAGCAAACAAATATGAAGAATCTTCCAAATGATCATTTAAATCAGTACTATTGATTTAAAAAGAAAATAAATACTACATTTAGAATTTAAGAAAGAGTTGATTCATTCAGCAACAGCTTTTACATTCACTCTAAGTATATGCTTAACTAAGTTCAGAAAAAATTTGGAGAATTTAGCAGTCTAGGTACTTTTAGTAAAGCTTCCAATATTCTAGTCAAAGGTGAATATGGGTAGACTCAGATGTATTCACTTTTGACTAGAATATTCTGGCTCTTCACAATAGAATTAAAGCTCTGCTATAGAAAATCAAAATAACTCTTTAAGCAGTTATTACTCTCTCAACCCTTGATGCATGGTTTAATACCAATCATGATATTGTAACAGTAAAAAGCAGCAAGATATACTTCATTCTTTGTTTAAAAAGATATTATTGGCTGGGTGCTGTGGCTCACGCCTATAATCCCAGCACTTTGGGAGGCCGATGCTAGAGGATGCCAGAACCCACTGGTTCAAGTCCAGCCAGGGTAACATGATAGGACCTCGTCTCTACAATAAATCAAAAAATTAACCAGGCATGGTGTTATATGCCTGTAGTTCCAGCTCCTTGGACCGCTGAGGCAGAAGGATCGCCTGAGTACAGCAGGTCAAGGCTGTGGTGGCCATAAGCATGCCTTTGCACTCCAGTCTGGACAACAGAGTGAAACTCTGACTCAAAAAAAAAAAAAAAAAAGAAAACATTATTAAGACTATAATTTATGGTGGCAGGATGACAATGTGGAACTTATGTTTATGTGCACATTTTGGAAAGGATAACTAGGGTTATATTGGTGAAGAATATACAATCAAATCAGTCAACGCATATTTCACCAGAAACTTCTGAAATGTAAAAAAAATCTCAACTATGCAATGATAGTCTATATATGGGTTATGGAATTTTACTTGATAAATATTCTATGTTAAATAAAAATGTGTATTGGTCAACGCAAAGGTCATTGCATGGAAGGAATACTGATCTCCAGTTCCCTCACTTTATATAGGAGCGAGTAGACCCATAGGACTATGGCAAGATTCCCATTCTAATCCCCACAGTACTTTCTTCTTTGGAGAGTGTAGTGCTTCAGCAGTAAACCTGCTAAATAGAAAGAAGATTGTATTTCAGGTGTTAGACATGCAAACTTTTAGAGTTTCTTACCAAAAAAAGTTCTGCATCACAAACAGTTATGATAATTTTTGAATATTGCTACTATCATATTTAGGGGTGCAAAATAAATATGATTTAAAATAGCCATAGTGGCCATAACAATCATTTTTAAATTTCAGAGTACATTTGAATTTGCCTGTCTCACATTCTGTGTCCAGGTTCAGACCTTCAGCTCAGTACAAAGATGGAAGATAACAGAGTAATGAGATTCAGAAATGCCATGTAGAAATTAAAAGAAGGCACAGACCATGGAGTCTTTGAATGCATATACAGAAGACTCTTGTTGTAAAGAGTGGGAGTTCTTTTCATTTCTCATGCTTTTATTTAGTCATTCATTCTATGGGAAAGATTTAAATTCATTGTTCCATGTTACTCTTAAGCAGTATGTCGTATTTATCTATTACTTGTGCAGGTAACACACCACCCATAATTAAATGATAACTAAAGGACAGCGGCATTGTGGGATGTAGTCACTTAGAGAAGCAGCTATCAGTCTTCCCCAGAGCAAGATACTGAGTGGTCTTTAACAAAGGCCTATCTGGGTGATGCTCCTTCAGAGTGGTTGGCATTCAAGAGTCTCAGATGTCCCTACCAACACAGGCTTCATTACTTCATCACTTCTCATGTCTATATACATAGAAGACTCTCAAATGATCATCCAGGTCACTCGTCTACTCCAGATTCATATTTCTAACTGCCTACTCTACAACCCCACTTGAGCAGCTCATAGGCACCATTAACTTAGCATCATCTTTCTCTCTACAAACTTGTTCCTTTCACCATCTTCCTCTTCTGTATCTACATATGTCTTAATGTTCAGTTCTGAGAACTTGGATCATATTTGACTCTATTTCTCTAACCTCCCAAAATACATAACTAGATTTTATGAGCTCTCTCAAGAATCTGACCACTTTTTGCCATGTTTACCCCAATCATTCATGTACAAGCTACCATTACACCTCACCTAGATTACTACAGTAGCCTCCTGTCTTGTGGTCTCTGCTCACTGCTCCTACACCCTGCCTTTAACCTCTTCCCAATCCGGGGCTTCAATGCAAGCCAAATCTACCACTGACCTTTTGAAGACAAAAGTCAAATATCACTCACATGTTCAAAAGCTCCCAGTCATTTTCCATTTAACTCTAAAGAAAAGTCTTTCAATTACATAAAAGCCCTACATCATCTGGCATTCTGACCTTATTTCTTCCTACCTATCATTTTTTTCTCACTTCAGTATAGCCTCATTAGCTTTGGTGCTGTTTCTTGAACAATCCTGGCATACTGCAGCATTAGAGATTTCTTGTTCCTCTTCCTGGAATGCTCTTCTGACAGACAATGTCTGGTGCTATTCTACGTCAAGTCCTTGCTCATATATTATGTCCACAATAAGGCCCTCCCTAATCACCCATTTAATGTCACAACCCCCGATCCCCACACATCCTACCTATCTTCTCTACCCTTTGAAAATTCATACACCTTATAATTATTTTACATAGTAGAGGTTTTCCTTATTGACTGTCTTTTCTCTTTAGAATTTTTATTCCTTAAGATAGTTTTGTGTCTTTTTGTTGTTGTTATACATGTTAGATGCCTAACTTCTAAAACAATGACTGGAAAACATCTGTACCATAATAAATATTTGTTAAACTAATGAATAAGAGGATCAGAATGCTCTTGACACTTGAAAGTGTTAGGGCTGTTTTAATATATGAAGACCTTCAAATGAATACAGAGTATAAAGGCTATAAACACCATCATCCCAATGCTTTACTAAAAAGATCTTTGGTGCTCATGGCTGCTACTCTTTGCTCCCTCTGCTGACCCTACTTTTCAAAGGTTTTGGCCTTGACACCCATCATTACCTATATCACTGTATGACTGAAATAGCTATGACCTTGGTTGACCCTGAGTTCTGCATATTCTTTGGTATTCAGTCAATTTTGCTACTAGTGGTTCCTTCCAACTTGGTGCAAATTAGTGCAGTTCCCCAAATCTCTGCTTAAATAAAAGAGACTTGACCTCAGACTGCCATTCTTTCTTAACTAATCAGCAATCACATATTCACCACTCTAAGGAAAGAACATGGTCATGGAGATTTTAAAAGCAAATCAGGGTACCCATCCTGGAACAATACTACCGTAACTTGAACTAGAAGAAGCATTCGATTACAAGATAATTAAGCAATGTGGAAAAACCCTAGGAAGGTAAGATTTAAGGATACACTGAAGCATATAAAACAAAAAAGACATAAATTAGGTTATGTAAAGAAGAAAACAAGTTAAATGCTACTTGAAATATCTGTTGGGTCCTTGGGGGTGGGGTGGGGAGTAGGTATTGCAGGGGAGCTTTTAAGGGTGAAATAAATCTTTCCAAAGTGCTTAACTCTGTAATTACAATGTCTATGAGAATTTCAAGTTTAAAGCAATGCCATTTTCTACATTAAAAGAATATGTGTGGTGCTAAGCACAGCTCCTACTTCTACTATTGTATGTGTGTGTTTTAAACAGCAACAGAACTGATTCTAATGACGTGGAGAGCTTTTGTGTTGTCTGGTGACATATGTTCTGATTTTTAGCTGAATGTGCAGTACTCACCGCTTCCCAGTTGGGTAGAATCTAGAGCAGGAATGGCCATCCCAGGCACAGTATGGGTCCCGTGCCAGGCAGCAGTCAGCACAGGCTGTGCCGTAGATGTGGCAGCGATGCAGAGACACTTGGGAAACCCCTTCATTGGAACTCACATACAATTGTTGCTGTTAAAGGAATGATGATGATTTATTTCAGATGTGGAAGTTAAAAGACAACTTTCAGCAGGAACACATTATAATGTATGCCCACAAACCCTTGGATTCATTTTGAAAGGAACTAAAAATGTGAGGCAAAACACAGAAGGGTATAAAGCCAAAATAAATAGAATTTTCCTATGTTAATATGCCTCTAACATTACCTCTTTCCTGTTTAAAAAAAAAAAAAAAGCTCAGAGTACCATGTAGAATGGTAATGTGTTTTAGACATTGGGATTCATTGTTCTCTCAGATTTGAGCAAATATATCACATTTTCTTTGAATGCTGTCTCTCAGCAAAGCACAAAAAAGCATTCATATTTTTCAAGTCTGCCAACACATTACTGTGTAAATTTGAAAAATCAGATTTAAAATAAAGAAATTTTAAGTTGAGAAAAAAAAAATAGGAAATAGTAAATAATGGATGAAAACATTGAGGTCACATGTCTTTGAAAGTAGTATATTACTAATTAAAACAATGTTAACATTATTTAGAAGAATATAAGTATTGATATTTAACCATGTCTTAAAATTTCTACTTGACCCAGTGAATTTCATCACCCTGAGGATGATGAATAAAGATTTAATCTTCCTTCATTTTTAGGATGGCAACAGTTTCTTAAGATAATATTCTGATCCCCTTAGCTGTGCATAAAATGGTTCTGAGGAGTTGAAGGAATGACTCTATAATTGACACTTAAAATTCTCTACAGGACTACTATAACTCAAGTGAGCAGAGAATTCCTAAGCTAGAACTTGAATAGATATGGATGTAAAGGAGTTTGTGCATCTCCCTGCATACATATATATTCAAAAATTAAATGATAGAGACACTTTTGCTATACCACCTATGGAGATCAACCTCCTAGATTCAAATTTCAACTTGACCACAAATTTACTGTGTAACTTTTATGAATCACAGTTTCCTCATTGATAAAATTGGTATACAGTTTTTGTAAGAAATAAATGTTATAAGGGCTATCCATACATAAAATTCTTGGAATTTTATGTGTGGAATTTTGGCTTATGTATGAAATTTTGGCTTATGTGTGAAATTTTGGCATAATAGTGTTCAAGAAATCTTAATTAATAACAGTAAAGTAAAACACCAATTAAGAAACTATCAATCTATAAGTTTTCAATTCTAATCATCTGAATCACATCTCACTCTATTCTATCTAATTATTTTATTCAGATCAATTGATTTTTCAAATACTGTGCTGAAATTGATTGATCCCCAGTTGAGACATTTAAACTAGAAGAAAACAACTGCATGCTTTGACAATAACCATTTGTCTAAAATGCTTAATAATAATTTAAATAATTGTTTATTGAGTAACTTAGGAAATAATATAGTAAATGTATCAGCTTCATAAAAATATTTGAGGATACTAGTTTCTTTGCGGAAAGGATACAGCAGTTTCATTCTTGATCATATACGTTTTATTAAAGGCTGCTATTTTCTGTTATATGGAGTGCAAGAACAAATTAAAAAATAAAGGAATGTAAAATAAATAATAAATCAGGAAACACTGAGATATTTAAATATAAAAAATGATATTAACAATATGTTGTCCTCTTACACTGAAAAAATAATGCAGTATGTAGTTTTACAAATGAATTTTTAAAAACCAAATAATCCTCCTTGCCTTGAATCTAGTTGTTTTAGTGAAACATTTTTAATTATCTACAACATAAGATGTTAAAGACAGATGTAATATGTAAACTACAAATAAGCTGAAACTTGTACATAGGGCTACTGTGTCACACGATTGGCTTTGTGTCCATTTTGCATTTTGCTCTGAGACTTTCTCATTCCATTAAAGTACTCTAAACAAAGGGCTTCCCTGCTGACTTCAAAGACAATTCTGACTTGAGATCAGCTCTCTAGGACATTAAGCAAAATGACGAATGGCTTCATGTTACTTGGGAAAATGTTTGTTATGCACCATACAAACATTTTTACAGATGAGATCTTCAGCTCCATTGTACCTTATTTATTTTTCCTCATAAAATTCGGTCAAGTGAAAAGAGTATAAGAGTGACTATAAAATACTACTTCATCTGTAACAGACCAAATATGGTGATGCACACTAAAATTATGTAATCAGTTGTGCTAAGACATAAAACCTTTATTCTATATTCTAAGAAAAATAAGTCACAGGCTCTTTCAGACAGCATTTGCTGAGCACTCACTTTATTTTAGGTAATTTATATAAATTAACTTGTTTGAGAGAAAGGCATTACTTTGCACACGTAGAAAGTTAAGTCAATGAACATAAATGCTTTGTCTAAATTTTATGGTTAGCTTGGGATTCAAAAACGTGGCAATACTACTCTGAAACCTATTCTACTTTGACTATGTTACTCTCTCCCTGAAAACTTTAGTTTTAAGATAACACCTTTGGAAGTTGGAAAGGTGCACGGTCATGTAGATATCGAATTGTGCTTTTCATTTCCATAATCTTTGTATATTTTCACGTGCAGGCACAAATCAGAAGATTAATTCGAAGATCTCTGATAATCATAGTCAAATATTTCTTTCTAAAATTCTGAACATTTAGATTTGAGACTTTCTGCTTTTTTTTGATGACATGTATATATCCTAGGAAATAGCACTTTTAAAAAATAAGCAGAAAAGAATGTATTGCACATTTCAAACATGTGACAACAGCAGGAGCTTAAAAGAGGATTGATTAATCATTCCAAGCCCTTGAGCATGTTGTGATGTTATGGTAGCCCAAACACAATGCTAAAATCTTCCCTTAGAAAGATTATTTTTATTTTAGTTGGCTTCATACATTGTAATATTTGAGAATATAAGATACACAAAATGTTGGAATATCTTGCTGCATATATGTTCTGACCAACTTTTATACAAAAATAAACCTACTCAGTCTTTCACTAATAGCTAGCAAATTCTACATCAAAATTAAAGATGATTTTGTGGTGTACTTTAAGCAGTATTATTTATTTTGTTAGTACTAAAACTAACTTTTTAATCTTTCACCTTAGCATAGGTATAAAATATACTTTTTCATAATAGCAAAACACTTTAATATGCAGAAATATAAAAATAGCTTAGTTTGTACCTTTTTGGATGAAATTTTCATTGTTGTTATGGGAGCATGATTCTAAAAGATTAGAAAATATCATGTTAGTTGTTCAAATAATCCTTAAAAAGAATTTTACATTCAAGAAATTTTCGTTCTTATGAAAACTCAAGAAATTATCATTTTTCTCTACATATATGTGTGCATATACTTGTCTATAAAATAAATTTCCTATTTGGAAACTAAGGATGGACTTATTACATAGATATATACCTAAAAAAAGTGGTAATTAAAACACATCTATAAATATAGTCATTGGAATAAGAAAAGAGAATTTGAGATAATTGAAGAAAGTATGCTTTGGAGTATTAAATATTTTGGAATATTAAATCCAACAAGTAACTTGGAATCAGGTTTGGGTGCTCAGGTGGGGGCAGCTGTGGGATGGTACACCATCCAATTCCTCCACAACTGCAAGGGCTCTGTATAAGACACTATTGTTCACCTGCCAAGTATTGTTTTAGAAAGATGTATTAAGTTGAACCATACTAATTAATTCTCATTATTGCAAACAAAGAAATATTGTTAGAAAAGATCCCTTTTGATAACTGTAAATAAGTGAAAGAACCTAAGCATTTTCTAAAATGGTAATGTTTTTGAAAATTACTCTATTCATAATTTTACTTCTTAAACATTATTAATTTATTTTAATTATTAAAATGCAGACTTTTGACAACCTGATGAATTTTCATGAGTTTTAGTTGAATAACTCAAGTGGGAACAAGTTCTCAAAAGCAAATGTACTCATAGTCATTTTACTTTCTGGAATTGCATGTACTTACAAACATATGAAAGATAAAGCAGTGAGATCTCTAATTCTCCTTTGCAAAAATTTTTGATCATCCCTTATAAAAACACACACACTAACGTTGCAACTTATAATCAGCTTGGCAGCAACTAATAGTCATACTTCCAATTCAAGTTAAGCTTAGGGAGACCAGATGTACTTTTAGAAAATGTGTAAAAAGAACTAAAAGATGATACTATGGTTCTTCACTGTATAAAAACAAAGTGCCTGGCTTTTCAAAGATACATTGAATTTTCTGAATTATATCAGTATGACACATAGTTAAAAACATTTTTCAGTTTAAATGCATTATTTCCTCACATGCTCATCACAGTAGTTCATATGCACCCAATTATTTTTGCCTCACTTCAGAAAATATGACACAAACACCATGTTGAAAACAGTAACTGTATTTGGGAACTGTGTCTCCTGATTCAGCACTATCAATCACTGGCACACGCAGTAAGAAAGCTCAGACTTTTTTTTGGTCTCACTCTTGGGCTGATGTCCCCACATGCATTTTGACTGACTCTTTTTTTTCCACTGAGAGTTTATTCTTCATGATGATAACACCAGCATAACTTATATAACAGCCCATAAGAAGTTAGCACATGGTCAGAATAACTCATATTTCTTTAAGACCTTTCCATAACTTTTATGTTTGGGTTTGTGTCAAGTTCACTCAATTAACATTTCCTGATAATAAAAAAAGATATTTCAGTATTAAAAATGAAGTGTTGCAATATGACATTTTTGCTATCTTCAAGAAAACTCCAAAATAAGGTACCTTGTGTTACTTTGGCCAGCTAAGTTGTCTCTATTGAGTTGAATGAGAAAAAATATTTTATATATAATGTGGTTTAGGTTACTCTAGCGAAGCAATCAATTTATTTACAAAACAAGGCATGGAAAAAGCACTTGACTAAACATCATTAATGTTATTTTATGAGCACATGTTTAACATACTAATCACAAAGAACCTATGTCAAAGTAACTCTAACATTAAAATTATAAATTTAATAGCATACTAGGAAATTTGCCAGAGTTCCTCAGATTTTATATTTGATTCTTTTAAAAATATTTCTTTACATTTAAAATGTACTAGCAAAATCTAACATCACTGCATCTTAATCACTTATTCGCTTATGAAGTCAATATTTTTGTGACCCTGGGACTCTATATAAATGAGTCAATACATTCTGAGTCCACTCAGCTAAGCAAAGCAACTTGCTGGAGTAGCAATATTCTGCTACTGGCAGTTCTGAAGTGCTACTTTTACTCAGTCATAGATTGACTCTGGGCTTTTGTTTTCCCTGCGCCACTGTTTCCTAATTGGTTAAGCTGGAAACAGTGTTCTGCAGCAGGATTGATTCCATGTCAAAGTTTATTTGCAATTCTAATAGCTGCTCTGCTGTGCTTCATCCATCTTTCCAAATACAGACAAAAAGGACCACTTGAACTACAGTGACTGACATTATAAGGAGAGAGGGGCATGGCAGGACACCACAAATGCCCTCTCCTGGCTCGCAGATATTTAAAGAACATGCACATGCACTCTGCCCTGATCAGGTGAGATCTTATAGGACTCAGCATCCCTCTGTTTATCCTCTTTGCTGTGTTTTGGTTTTCTTTTTCTTGTTAATTTCAAATTCAAGAACAAGGAGAATGATACAATGCAATCTCAAGTTCTGAGAGAACACTGTACTGATTGGCAAAGAGACAACATTTGTTTTGACTAGAGTGTCATCTGAATTAAAAGCAATAAAACAAGAGAAGACAAAGCAGCTGTTCTTGGAATTGCTGGCTTAAAAAATATCAGAACAGTTATCTAACAATCAATAATGTAAACGCATTTGAGTTTCAGAGGCTTGTGAAACAAATGATAAAAGCTCTTTCATGAAAAAATCTTCTAGACCTTGACCACTACAACTCATTTTTTAAATTTAATGATGACCAAAATTCTTCAAGTTGTGATGATAGTTGGAAAGAAACTCGTCCTTTTATGTTACGATAACTTGAAATGTAAGAAATACTTTACAAAAATATTTGTTCCTTATTTCTCATTTTATCTGGTGTTTTTCTACCCTCAAAAATTTACCACACTCATTCATTTGATCTTTTATAAAATATTTTTTTCTCCCAAGTGGCTGAAAGATTAAAGAATTCCACTCATCATGCATGTTCTGAGATTAATAGGAGAGATGGTCAAACCTTAAAGACTTCCAGCTCCTCCAGAATAAGCTCGCCACTGGCAGAGCTGTTAGTAGGAAGAACAACCACCTTTTGGACAGTTCCTCGATCTTAATTAAAGAAAGAAAAAAGTGAGATGTTACAAGACTTTTTTTAAAGTAAGGAAATACATTTAGACATAAGACTACTGACTTAGAACTTAGAATATTATGTATACACATATTCAGTCATCAGAAATATATTGTATATATTGAGCTAATACCATTTGTAATATGCTGATTTTATTCCAAATCTCACATATGTAAATTCAGATATTTTGCACATACTCTGTGTAGCCATAACTGTGAGAAAAGGAAAGACTCTCTTAATGATTTAAGTCAAAGTTCTGAAACAAATGTGTATTCTTGTAATATAGTATGCAAATTTATGTTTGGTCATTAAGAATATAACTTACTCCTCCATACTAACATTATAATGTAACTCACTCATTGTTTTGTTAACATTAGCATGTAATGATTTCATTATCTAAACAAAAAGATTACTACAAATAAATTTTTATAATAATTGTATTATAAATCACTAGTACTGGGAAATTGACATTTGATCTGTAGCTCTGACAGAGTTTATACGTGGCAAGATGTTTCACTCACAACTCAAAATAATTTTCAGGGGAAGCATAACTATGATTTCACTGTAGGTGTGGACACCTATTTGTAGCCTAATTCTACTGTTTCATGATTTAATTTATCATTTTGTAATATGTTTCTTTGAATAGTATCAAAATATAGAAGAAATTCTGAAACTAGATGGTACAAATAAGCTAAAGGAAATAAGAAATTTACTCATATTTCCCAATTACACATGGCCAAAAACAGAGATGCCCAAACAAATGTAATACATACAGAAACTGTTACTTATGTCAACACTTATATTTAAGGTGGTTTCATATAGTCATGGATATCTATGCACATAATTATGCTACTCTACCAACAATATACATTTTAGGTTTAAAATAATCTAGTTGAGATTTAGCAATATGAGATTAAAGCAAATTTGTGAATAACTTGGAAAATAAAAATATATTCATTTAAATAAAAGATGATTCTATTAAAATAATTAGTAAGCTGTATTATAAGCATTAAGTCATACTCTTTAAAATTATAACTAAATTTATAATTTTTTTAAAAAAGGATAATCATCAACAGATACATTTTTAAATTCTGTTAAGAAATGTCAATGAGTTAACTTGAACTAAATCATACGGGATTTTACAACTAAGAGTCATTTAGTGATTGATACCACAAATTTCAAATCTCAAATTGGCTTCTATTCTACAGCAATAGTTATTCTGACAAAAAAGATCCTATTTCATGTTTACAGTCTTTATGAACTTAATTAAAAGATACAGAATAATTATCAAAAAAATAAACTCAACTTTAAAAGGTTCAGCACTAGAAAATAAAACCTACTAAATAAAAAAAGTTTACTCTAAAAAGTAAGAGAAAGAGAATTTCCCAGAACAATCCCTGAATCTTGTGAAGCTACAAAGTATAAGCACTTGATCTTAGAAGTTTCAAAGTACAGCCGGGCTCGGTGGCTCAGCCTGTAATCCCGCGCCTTTGGGAGGCTGAGGTGAGTGGATTGCCTGAGCCCGCGGGTTCGAGACCCGCCTGGGCAGCGAGACCTCATCTCTACAATAAATCAAAAAATCAACCGGGCGTGGTGGCGCATGCCTGTAATTCCGGCTACTCGGAAGGCTGAGGCGGAAGGATCGCCGGAGCCCGGCAGGTCGAGGCTGCGGTGGCCGGGAGCGGCCACTGCACTCCAGTCTGGGCGACAGAGTGAGACTCCAACTCAAAAAAAAAAAAGAAGTTTCAAAGTACACTCTGTAATTGAAAATCCACTTCTTAAACCATACTCTTTGAGTATGGTTTAATAACAATCCCAAAGTTGTAATTAAAAAGCTCTGAAATTTCTCTGTTCCATTGAGCAGCTTCCGTATAATCAGGCCTGATAACAATTTGGGCTATTGACTTGGAAGGTATGTAGCACATGTAAAACTTGGAAGTGAAAAAAGAGTAGCAACCTCTCCAGGTCCTCTCCCACTGTAGGAGCTTTTCTGTCCTCTCAATAAGTCCCACTTTCTCAAAAAAATAAAAATAAAAATAAAAAGAAAGAAAAAAAGAAAAAGAAAAAAGAATTGAGGATGCCATGCAGAGACATGGTCCCACTAAAATTTGATGAATATGACTAGAGGTATCCCCAATTTCTATTAAATTGAAAACTTCTAGGGGAATACAATATGGCAAAAATCCTAATCTGAAAGTCATAAAATTGTGACAGCTAGGACAAGGTTTTTGTGATAATGTGTGTGTGTGTGTGTGTGTGTGTGTGTGTGTGTGTGTGTATACAAGCACATGCATGTGTGCATACATATGTTCCTGTTGAATATTTATTGAATAAATTAGTAAGCATGAGGGAAGATAGAGGAATCAGAAGATGACTAGACAGGTAAAATCTTTGTTTTAGGCCATGTTATCATAAAGAACATGTTTTTTGTTTTTTAAATAAATTATGACAGAGTTTTATGGATCCCTGCTACATGAATCATAACCATGCTACACAACAGCAAAGACCTCTGTGTGAGGTTTTTTGTTGTTGTTGTTGTTGTTGTTGCAACTCTTGAAAATTTTTTATTTTTAATTATTACTGATGTATAATAATTGCATACATTTCTGGGTACATGTGATGTTTTGATGCAGGTATACAATGTACAACGATCAAATCGGGTAATTGGAGTATCTACCACCTTAAGCATTTATCACTTCATGTTAGAAAAATTCCAATTCCACTTTTGAAGTTATTCAAAAATATATAATAAATTATTGATAACTATACTCACTCTATAAAAAGAGACTAAGCAGAGGCTGTGTATAACATAGCCCCCAATAAAACCTCATTAAAATTTATTCATGTTACAAAGATTCCCTGAAAATGATCAGCTCTGAAAACAATTAAGTACTCTCATTTGAGACAACTGACTCCATTTTTACCCAATATTTTAATTTAATATGAGAGAAAAACTTTACACAAATCACCATTTTCTTCTGATAAGACCCACAGTAAACACACTTTCTTCTTGCCATTTATGAAAAAGTGTACAAAGAGAACTATAAAACTGAGCTATAAAAAGAGAATGCAAAGCCTGCTTTTGACCTATTCACAATAAAATTTAGAATACCACTTTTGTTTATTCATTTTTTCCTTATTTTAGTTATTTCTATTTTGTTTCACTGGTAATGATGGGCTCCTGATATAGAAAATACTTTCTAGGTATTGTTGGGCTGTATCACTTGCTACTGAGTAAATCAATGGTCTTAAGTTGTCTTTCCTCTATTTTTACTCATTGATTTAACAAGCAGTCACTGAGTTCCTTTAGTGAGTCTGGTGGTACAGACACAAAGATACACAGGGATACGACTCAAGAGTTCACAGTCTAGAATTTATGGTTTTTTGAGTAGTGTGTTCCCATTAAAATGTTAGTCATTGAGAGATATGCATTCCAGAATGGCCATAAAACTCCCGATTACTTATGTCTACATAAAGCCATGTCTGTGTCCTTTTGTTTGAAGATGATAATATAGTTATCAAATGTCTTCCTTCTGGGGGTGATGAGAATGATATTCCTAATGTAGTCACAACTATAAATCTTTTTTATTGTTCTGCAGAATTGGGATATTGCTTTCACATCCTTGGGAAAAGCACCAGGCCTATGATATATTTACAGTGAAGCAGTCTCTTCTTTTTTTCTTTACCAGTGCATAAACAATAATCATACATTTTATAGTGGACATCTGTTGCTAATCCCACCCAAAATCACTTCCCCTTCTTTTGGTAACACCTACGATACCTTCCGGAAAAAACATCTCTTTCATTTTCAGTTTTACATGGTTATGAAAGATATTTCCTCTCTTACAGCTCCATGGAGACCCACATGACTTGAGCTTGTCCAATAAGAATCCAGTCACCCCTGGATTCACACAGGAGTGGGCCTAGAAATATGTAGGGGCCCAGGCTTCCCTTAAAATCAGGTAGGTAGGAGTCTTTTTTTCTGAGATCAGGAGTGTCCAAATCTTAAATCTGGCGGTACTGAAGCCATCCTCGCTATCACATACACAGAATCCACTGGAGAATAAACAACACAGAGAATTGCAGATCTTAACGATGATGAAGTGAATTCCTAACAATATAATTTTAGCACAAATTCAGCTATGTCTGAGGCTGCATTCTGGATTTTCCAGATAAACAAAGAAAATATATATATACAAAGTGGGGACCCCAAAAACCCCCAGAATTTATTTTACTTCATTTTATTTTTATTTTACTGTTTAAGTCAGAGTCTCACTCTATCACCCAGGCTGGAGTGCAGTGGTAAACTCATGGCCACCGCAGTCTTGACCTGCTGGGTTCAGGAGATTCTCCCTCCTTATCCTTCCAAGTTGCTGGAACCACAGACGTGCACCACCACACCCAGTTATATTTTTTTATTTATTGTAGAGACGAGGTCACACCAAGTTGCCCAGGCTGGTCTCGAGACCCTGGACTCAGGCAATTCTCTAGCTTCTGCCTCCCAAGAACTGGGATTACAGGCATAAACCACCATGCCCAGCCAGAATTTATTTATAAAAATTGTATAATTATTCTTACATGTTTAAACTTCATTCATTTTCAAAGTACTCTTCTTTTGATGAAATACACCTATTGAATCTCTTCTTCCACTGTTCAAAACATTTTTGAACTAATCAATTTTGATGTCTTTTAGTGCTTCTGCTGTTTTTTTGTATCATATCCTCTGCATCAGCAAAATCCTTCCCTTTGAGGACTTATTTCATTTCAGAAAACACGAAAAGGTCACTCAGTTAGGGTGAGTAGGGAGGGTGGGGCATGGAGGTCATGCCTTTTTTGGTCAAAAACTGCTGAACACTCAGTGTCATGTGAGCAGGTTGTTTGTGTAAATCACCCATTATGAAATCAGCAAACATGCTGAAAGAATTTGGAAAAAAATAATTCACTGAAGCAGAACACAGCCTCTCCCAACAATGCTAGCAGG